ATACAATCAAAATAATAATTCAGTACAATTAGATTACCACCACAACTCTGTGAGTTCGAGGCCAGCCTGGGCTACAGAGTGAGTTCCAGGAAAGGCGCAAAGCTGCACAGAGAAACCCTGTCTCGAAAAACACCTTCAAAAACATCTTCAAAAGACACCAAACACCAGCCACACACTGATGTAAGTGTGGTCTTTCAGCTCTGTGTTAGACGTGAGCTTTTGTCTGTTGCTCTGAACATTGAGAAGTAGTGACCCACACAGCTGTCACTTAAAACAGTGCTGCTGTTCTAGACGGGTGTGTGATTGAGCTGGGCATGAAAAACGTATAACTGACAACCTCATGTGAATATGTTTAATATTTACTCGGTGACAAAATACTATTATTGTTTTCCTTTTTGATCTTTGCATTGGGAAATGATTGGAAATGTGAGATAGCGTGTATCCTGACTAGCAGACTAGTGCATTTAATGTTCTGTTCCTTTCTGTTTTTTCAGAACCGTTGTGTCCTCCAACAATTCCTCATTCTTTTCGTGCAGGTTTTGCTGTCTTCCTTTCTCTGCTTCCCAGTGATGACTCCTTCCCCCTGCCACTGTCTTCCATCTTGTGTGGAATTTGCCTTGCCTGCATGTCCCCAAAGTGAATCACATTTTCCTAATGCTCACCTTTGAATATCTTTCTTTCCCTAAAGCCATGTGTGCCACCTGGAAGCCACATGAGCTTGGCACTCCTTCACAATTCCTCTCCATCGAAATTCCATTTGATATTTCTGTTTATTTGGGTTATAAAGAGACATCTGCATTTATCTTGCAAACAGCCTTCTGTCCCTAGCATAAGACATGTCATTTGTTGATACACATCTGTAAAGAACTGTCACTTTATTTTAAATGCATGCTCCTATCTTACTGTAATAATGGTCTTATGTGCGATGCCGACAGCATGGCTGGTGTTCTTCCAGGACTCTTAGGATTTGTTTCTTACTGGTTGTGACCTCTGCAATACACTTTGGAGAGTAATAAACTACTCTTGCCCTGGGGTCAGCATTCACTGCAACATTTGTAGATGGAAGACAGTTTTACAGTTCTGCAGCCAGTGACCTCGGTTTGGATGTCAAACACTTGCTTGCTCTTCTCGGTCTCAGCTGGTTCCTTTACTGAATCCTCAGGCTATACTGAATCCTTAAAATCTGTATGTCTCGTCTCGTTACTATCTATGCCCTATGATGACTATATTGAGAAAAGAACTAGGTATATATTTTTTTAATCCGACAAATGATGAAATGTTGAAATAAACTTAAAAATTCATCAATATTATTCTAATGTTCTGCTGTAGAGTCTAAGTAACTGTCTTTTTTATAGGCAACATAATTACAAGTGAATTACAAATGCAGACTTTATGACTCTAATTAAACTAGAGGCCACGTTCCATTAAAAACAGATTAAGCACATGAAATCAGTTGTAAGGAAAAATAAACATGCCACAGGTTTAGAACTTTCAAAATAAGTGATTAGCAATGTCAAATAATTTATTTTTAGCTAATAATTTTACACAGACACCTGAAGCATTTTCTTATATTTCATCAGAAAAAAATCCATATTATCTAATTTTAAATATATTTATTTATGTATTCATTTCTTTTTTCTTTACTTCCTTCTACCATATTAATATCTTTAAAAGTTTCTATGAAGTATAAAAGACTGGGAGAGAGTCTATATTTGAGTCTTAAGGATATAGACTAGTTTTAAGAACATTAGAAACTCAAAGATATTTCACTGGAAGGATTGTATTTTGTAAGAATCAAACCAAGTTACTAAAATGAATCTGAAACAAACTGAGACACCAACATCATGGTAAAGCTGCTCAGGAGAACAAAATCTAAGAAAACATCACACAAGATGATAAATCTCCCTTTATGCTGCTGGGAGAGTCAGGGCTAGAGTTTCCTAGAAACTTTTGAACACTAAATACTTGCTTCTCACACACAGAAAGAAATAAAGAGCCAGTGGTGTGGAATATTCCTTTACATTGTGTGAAAATACATTGCTGTGATTGGTTTAATAAAGAAGCTGACTGGCCAATAGCTGGACAGCTAGAGGTTAGACGGGACTGGCAGACAAAAAGAGAGCACAAAGAAGAGTCTGGAGGATATGGAGAGGAAGCAGGAGATGAACCTGCTGAACTGAGAAAAGGTAACAAGCCAGGCAGCAGAGGGCAGACAAGAAACATGGGTTACTTTAAGTTATAAGAACTAGTTAGTGACAAGCTTAAGCTATGGCCAATCATTTATAATTGATAATAAATCTCTGTGTGGTTATTTGGGAGTGGGCTTGCAGGACAAGAAACTCTGCTGACAGGGTAGTGTTGAACTAGCACCAGTGGCTCCAGCAAACACTCACAGAGCACAGAGGAGACTTAAGCAAAGCACGTCTGTCTTTCAGCAAGAATGCCTTAAGACACAGAGATGGCTAGATGATTCAGAGCAAATTCAACTGCAAAGGTAGATGTGTTGCATTGATGACATAAGTTAGCATCAGTGTTCAAATACTTTAAGGATATGCTGTCATTTTCAGGAAAAGGCAATGTTGGTGACAGACACAGTTACAAATTGTACAGAAAGAAAATTCCTAACAGGACATCAATAGATCCCACACAGGCAGCAACTCCCCACAGAGGGACAGAGGTAAAGATGTAAGAATGAATTCACAGAGAAGGTAGTAAGTGGTTGAAAATATTTTTTTTAAAGAGTTGAGTTTCTAAGATTTATAAACCTTATTTGTCTAAGACCAGGAACATAGCATAGTGTGTTATTTATAGTCAACCAAAAACAACAAAGAACTGTTTGAAATATCTACTTTCTCATGTCTTGTTCACGTAGTTGCAAAGTCACTAGTGTCCTAGGAAAAGCTTCCTGACTGAACTGTTCTTAAACACCGCAGGATATCAATGTTGATGTACCATAAAGAAAACAGAAGCCAGGTAGCCTCCCCACCAATGTGTGTTCTTCCTGTTTGCATCCAGAGAAACTGACAGTTAAACACACTGCAGAAGACCTAAGTGTGAATTAAAAAAAAAAAAAAGATATTTGAACTAATCCAGGTTCACAGGAAGACTCAGAAAGAAATGAACTTAAAATACATGTTGAAGAAAATAACCATCAGGGGATCAGGTAATGGTCTTTGAGGTGGGAGTTAGAGAAGGCCTGTGTGTGCTCATTTGGTGTGAGCTTTACTCTGTTTTCTCCACTCGCTGTGGGTGGCTCATGCTGAGTCCTTACCGCCTCCACTTCAGCTGGGTCATACCAAACGTTGATGTAGGGATGCTGTAAGGCGTCATCCACCGATATCCTCTTAGCCGGGTCGATCACTAACATCTTTGACAATAAATCCCTGGCTTGGCTGGCTGAAATGACAAATAAGAACAACAATTCCTAAGATTTCATTTTGGCAAGGGTGTTTATCATCTGGGGAACTAAGAAAGCAAAGCAGCATCCTTCTAGTCACCAGAAACTCCTTGTGGCTATAAAGGAAATGCAGACCTAACTTTTCTTTTTGTCTCAAAGCCTAAGGTGTCATTTTGAGAGCTCTTTGAGGGTTATATGGTGTGAATAATCGGATATAATTATTCACTCAGAAGTATAAATAGAATTTATTGGCTATGAAGTTTGAATAAGTAAAGAAACTTCCGTGGGTAATCTCTAAGGATGAGAGGGGGCTGGGATAAGGGGCAATGCAAAGTGGGAAATGGGAAGTGCAAAGTGAATACTGCATCTGCAGAAATGCACAGTTCAGCTACGGGGTAGATGCAGAGAGTGAGTCATGGTGCTTTCCTGTTCTCTGACACCAAATGGGATCAGCAGAGTCAGTAGAGTTAAAACTGACTTGAGCACCGAGGTTGTACCGATTTCTTAGATCCATTAAAAACAGCCTGAAGAGTGACTGTGATAAAAGTGACCTCACTTAACCACTGAATTTTGGTGTGGCAGTCTGCGTTCATCAGGCATTTCAATGGGTGGAATCACGATTTGGTGGAATCAGGTGGGCAGTGGCTAAAGGAAGTCCCACGCCATGGCCGACGGTGATGGACATCTCCATGTTATGTACAAGGTGGCGTGGTGACTTGCATGGCGGGGGCAGGGTGAGAAACATGGTGACCATCAGCCAGCATATTTGTTCAACAGCACTGTTTATTGGCGGCACATGATTTCCGTGTTCCGCCATGCCCCTGTGTGTGCAGTCTCCTCCGTGTGTGATGGTGCACATGTGTGCAAGTCAAGGCACAACCTTGGGTGCTGCTCCTTAAGCACTATGAACCTCTTGTAGTTCTTTCTTTTGAGACAAGCCTGGAACTCTCTGTTAGGAACTCTCAACCGCCTCTACCTCCCCATCGCCATTTTCACTGGGGTGACAAGTACGTGCACAGGCCTCATGTTTGATTCCATGGGTTCTGGGAATCAAACTCAGGTCCATGTGCTTGCAGACAAGCCCTTCCTCACCTGAGCTGAAGAACCAACCCTGAAGCCACATTGATTTTTTAGTCTCTAAAGCATGTGGAATTTTTACATGAAGTGGTTTCTTAATAAGACTAAGCAACATCTTAATACTACCTTAATAAATCTTGAACCACTAAGATTACTCAAATGGTCTCAAAGTTTTAATAGTAAAATTAGTGTGTTCCAAATATATAGCAAAACTTCTAATTCAAGAGACTAAAAACCTCAATTGGCTTAGCAATTTTAAATATTTCTAAGTAATAAGAGTGCCTACGAGTAACTGACATCAAAAAATTGGAACTAGGTATGCTAATGTAGAGGATAATGTAGGAATCAGGGGCCTTTTTCTATATTCACAAATTTAGAGCTTCAGTGTTTTTGTTCTCCTTTTAAAAAACACCAGATACATACTGTAAAAGATTCACGAGTTCATTGGTAGTACAATAAAATATTTACATGTAAAATGTTTAAAAGAAGATTTTTTTCATTCAAGTGTTTTTTTAAATATGGACAACATTAATTGTTATTAAATGTTCATATTAAAGTAACTGGGCTAAAAATTTAGCAATAACATAAACAAAAGTTAGGCAATGTCACCTATTCTCACAGGCTGTCACTGTGATTGCTGGTGGCTTTTTTTCTCCCACTGCCCACTTTTGGATGTGATTCAACTGTCTGACATTCATTTTCACTTAATTTTGCCAATACAACAGCTGAGATGTCGGAAACTATCCTCACCTATGTATCTGGGACTATTTTCTTGTGTTTTATAATGTTTTATGTTAATATGGAAGTTCATTCATTAAAGGATATTTTATGTCTATAGCAATTTTTTCTGATAAATACAATATTCTTAATTGATAGCATTCTTTACAAACACAACTTTGAAGCTCACAAGAATACCGAAAGTGCACAAAGACTTACATACTAATACAAATTTTAAGATGATTTTATGACCAATGTTCTAACAGCCTAACAAAGCTGTTTATTTCCTTTGTTAAAAGATCCTTTTGCTCTGTAGCTGATTTCATCCTCAGATTCATATACCCTGCATCCAGAGTTTGCTCTCAAGACCATCTGTATTTCTGTTCTTAGAAAGGGCACGGGATAGGATGGCTCCTTGTTGAGAAGGGAATGACCTTTGCCAACACCAGATCATCTACTAGAAGCCATTGTCAGTACCATATGTAGTAAACAGAGAAATGTTTTCAGTGCCATGGCTTTCAACTTTCAAAGATGCTGCTTTCCCAGAGTCTGAACAAATTTTCTGTTCATCATTTGCATATTGTGATACTTCGTTGGTGTGCCAGTCTTGTATTAGAATCACAACTATATTAAATAGCTAATAATTTACAAAAAATAACTAAACTCTAGAAAGTTGGATTTACATCACAAAGCATGCTGTTGTTAACAGTTTGCTGTGGAGGGGTCCTCTTTCCTTCTTGGCCTGTAGGCCACCAAGTTGAGAGGGTAAGAGGCAGTAATGGTGACAGAGAGCTCTGCACTTGGCCCATGAGGACAAATGGAGACAGCCCTCCAAGAGACAGATTTCGGTGAATCAGCTCAACTTTATTCCAGAGTATAAGGAATATATAGGATTGGGGAGCCAGAGGACAAACCTTAATTTGCATTAAGTGTCAGGCTTCAATCACAAGGCTTTGTATGTGGCAGGAGGATCCTATCAAAATGGCTAGAACACTTTCCTAGTTAGCATGTAGGTCATCAGGTGAAGAGTGTTTACAGGTAACTGTCAAGGGTCACCCTTGAGATAAGTCAGGCATCCTGGACCTAGAGACATCCTCCAGATAAAGGCAGCCAGAAAGCAGGAAGCTTTGCTGGGGAAGGAGGAAGGGAGTTTCCATATTGTCCAGCTTAGAGAAAGCTGCCAGGATGTGGTAGACTGTGACCTCTACCAACCAGCAATGTCTTCCAACAGTTTGCCTGCAAGTATTTCCACTACCATTAGATAGCTCAGTGAGGGGTTTACTGTCTCCACATGGTTACACTGCCAGTGTCTTCACAGGATTATTTTTGTCTACTGTGGTGGTTTGAATAAGAACATTCCCTATGGGCCCAAATATTTGAACGCTTGGTCATCAGGAAGTGGCACTACTTGAGAAGGATTAGGAGGTGTGGTTTTGTTGGAGGAAGTGGGAGTGGGCTTTGAATGTTTGAAAAGGGCCAAGACAAGCCCCATAGCCTTTTCTCTTCCTGCTGTCTGTGGACCAAGATGTAGAACTCTCACCTATTCCTCCAGCATCATGTCTGTCTACATGCTGCCATGCCCTCTGCCATGAACCTCTAAAACTGGTAGCTAGCCCCAATCAAGTGCTTTCTTTTATAGGAGTTGTCACGGTCATAGTGTCTCTTCACAGCACTAGAACAGTGACTAAGATACCTACTATCATGATTAGCATTAAAAAGGCATTCAGGCTAAGATATCTTTTAGGCATTTCGCTCTCTGTCTACGAAGTGTTCACGGCTTTGGGAATGTCACTCAGAGACTATGTAGCACTATGATGTGGACTGTCTTAAATCTCTTATGAATAAATTTGGAGGTGATGACTAGATCCCAAACAACAAAGCACTGCATTTTAATTTCTCTGCCTCATTGATGTTTATCTTAGTTATTTAAATTAAGCCTATAAATAATTGACTGTGCTGTACACTTGGGGTATACCCCCAAAAGCATGAACCTACCTTGCTTTTTTGATGATAAATATTTTAATACAACTTTTTATTATGTTTAGCAGGTATTAACCAGATGCTGTTAAAAATTCTTAACAAAGTATTAAGTCAATTAAACTGAGTCTGGATCTAGGCAGAAGGGACCAGAGTTGAACAGAAAAAAAATGTGTAGGTAACACCTAATTTAGTACCATATAACTGAGAAATGGTGGTAAGACACTCAATAAAATATAATGAACTAAAGTACCTATGTCTATAAAACTTAATAAATGAAAATCTGTGTTAAAAATATTTTCTATGAACTAAAACAGGATTGAAGATATGTTTCCAAAGTACAGTACACTGAACTTTTAAATTTACATTTCAAACAGTAGTTTCAATATTCTAAATAACCCTGATAAAACAGTTAACCAAGAAGGGCTATTGTCAGGAACGCCTCTTCTTGCCTCAGTGCCAGTCCAGGGAAGACCTCACAGGTACCTTTTCATTGGGCACACCACATTGGCCGACAACACAGAGCCTGTCGGGCTGTGCCCAGTGCTCACCTTTGAGTTTATTGTGCTCAGAGTCCGCTGGGAAAAGGGAGTCTGGAAACAGCTTGGGGAAGGTGAGTCCAGCATACTTGGGCCGGTTCTCAACATAGTTTCTGACTGTAGGCTGCAATTTCTTCATAAATTCTGGACATGGAGTTCCTAGCTGCTCGATGACTTTGTTCCACTGGTCAATATCTGGGGAGGAAACAGTTAAGGGAAAAAGAGGTGCAGACCAGGGGCTCTCACCTTTCTGTCACCTGTCACTGGGGGCTGAGTCCCATCAGTGTGACTGGAATTTTACAAAGCAACAGAGGACAAAAGGGTGAAATGAAAGTTGACAGCCTGCCTCTGAACTCTTTTGGAATTATAAGTCAAATTTTGAGCTTGTGTGCTTTTAAATAACTACTATTATTTAACAACAACAGGATTATGAAGTGGTCATTGCTTTACAAAAATAAAAATATTATTCAAATATAACAGGACATAGTAACACTTACATAATCATATGTTTTAAGGACATACAATATGTATGTATATTTAATATGTATATTTAAAATATGCAAGGACAAATGACAAGAAGTTCTCTCTTGATTGTAAGAATTAAAAGATTCAAATAATGCAAGAAAGAAACTTAATGAAATAAAATTTTGATAATCACGTGATTTAGAATTAAAATTATCTCACTTCATAGGATTCGATCTTAAAATTACATCAATCATTTTTATTTTTAGAATAGCAAGCACATAAATACTTTAAATAATATTTATTTATATTTTCCTTAAATTCTCTTTAAGATTTTTTTGTTCCTTTTCTGAAAATGTGAAAGTTCCATTGACATTTAATGTTTTTCTACGTATAATCATCACATTTGGGGTCATCACACTAATTTGGTTTGGCTATGTATATAGGTGGAATACATTGCAAAGTTCTAATGCATATATATAATTGTAATCTGCTCAAATTTCTGTCTTTTCAAAGTTTACTATGCATTTGTGACATTTATATTTTTTCTGGAAGGTTGTTTGAAATATGCAGCACTTGTGTGTCACCCATAGCCACTGTCTACTGCAGTCACTAGTCAATAACAGTCACTGTCTACTGCAGTCAGTCAATCACAGTCACTGTCTACTGTAGTCTATCACATCACTGTCTACTGCAGTCAATCACAGTCACTGTCTACTGCAGTCACTC